AACCGCTACCGCCGCCTGCTGGACGCGACGGAGAACTGCTGCACTCCCAACTACTCTTACATTGTATTACTATTAATATATTATATTACAATCAATATTAATATTAGTATTAGTATTAACATACATAATAATAATAATATTATCTATGTTAATATTAATAATAATCTGTATATACATCTATTTTACAAATGCTTTGACAATGTAAACATCTGTTTATATAAAGCAACATACAGTAGAAATCCACCAATCAGCAGTAACAGTATATAGACTGATATATTGATCACTATCAGTCTGATATATTGATCACTAACAGTATATAGACTGATATATTGATCACTATCAGTCTGATATATTGATCACTAACAGTATATAGACTGATATATTGATCACTAACAGTATATAGACTGATATATTGATCACTATCAGTCTGATATATTGATCACTAACAGTATATATCCAATCCATCCAATCCAACTTTATTTGTTAAGCACTTTAAAACAACCAAATATGACCAAAGTGCTGTACATGAGAATAAATAAGACATCATAAATAAAAGACATAACAGCTCACATGAGGCGCAAAATTACATATAAAATACAACAATAAAATGAAAAGACATAAAACATGAGTACAAATAATAGCCACGCAATAAAAAGCTATCAAAATAAGAAATTAAATCAAGTAAATAAAGTCGACATCTTACTAGGTGTCAAAGGCCACAGAGAAGAGATGGGTTTTAAGACTGGTTTTAAAGACAGACAGAGAAGAGGCCTGTTTAACATTCAGAGGCAGATCATTCCATAATTTAGGAGCAGACACAGCAAAGGCACGGTCCCCTCTGAGCTTCCGCTTAGTTTTAGGCACACTCAGGAGCAGCTGATCATCTGACCTGAGGGGGCGGACGGGTATATAGGGGTGTAGAAGCTCAGAGAGGTAGGGCAGGGCAAGACCATTCAGGGATTTAAAAGCAAATAAAAGAATTTTAAAATGGATCCTAAATTGAATAGGCAGCCAGTGGAGTGAGGCTAAAATGGGGGAAATGTGCTCATGTTTACGTGTGCCAGTTAAAAGACGTGCAGCAGCATTCTGTACCATCTAGAGACGGGCGATGGAGGACCCACTAACCCCAACATATAGTGCATTACAGTAATCCAGCCGAGTGGTAACAAAGGCGTGGATTACCGTCTCAAAGTGCTGCCTTGATAGAATTGGCTTTATTTTGGCCAGCTGCCTCAAATGGAAAAAGCTTGATTTGACAACAGCCTTGATCTGACTGTCAAACTTAAGCTCAGGGTCCACCTTAACCCCTAGGTTTGTGATGCTAGGTTTAATATACTGGGCCAAGGAACCCAGATCTACAGGGGGGGTCCCAGTGGTGCCACCAAAAACCATCACTTGTGGAATGAAAAGCCATGCTTCCTAAGTATGGAACCAAGTGGGAGCAAATAGAGAGAGAAAAGGAGAGGGCTAAGAACTGAGCCCTGTGGGACCCCACACGAGAGAGAAGCAGAGGAGGATACAGAGTCACCAAGGCTGACACAGAAAGTTCGATCAGCCAAGTACGACCTGAACCACTCCAGAGCTATGCCCCTGATGCCCACCCACTGCTTCAAACGTGATCAATATTTCATGATCCACTGTGTCAAATGCAGCAGTTAAATCTAAAAGCACAAGGATAACACAGTCACCAGAGGCAGTAGCTAAAAAGATGTCATTAAAAACTCTTAAGAGAGCTGATTCGGTGCTGTGCAGGGTTTTAAACCGGATTGGAAAACCTCTAGAATATTGTGTTCTTCCAGAAAGACCATTAATTGCCTGTGCACAATCTTCTCCAGGATTTTTGAAAGGATATATAAGGATATAGACTGATATATTGATCACTAACAGGATATAGACTGATATATTGATCAGCAGTAACATTATATAGACTGGTATAACGATCAGCAGTAACACTGTGAGCACTGGACTCCCTGACTGGTCCCAGACCAACAGCCTGCTCTGCACTGTGTGTTCTGACCCCATTCTATCAGAACCAGCATTAACTGTTTCAGCAGTTTGAGCTACAGTAGCTCGTCTGTTGGATCGGACCACACAGGCCAGACTTCACTCCCCACCTGCATCAATGAGCCTATTGAATAAATATTGATTGTTTATAGCTCATTGTGTTCTGTAAAGATCTATTCATTCTTAGAGCGATCACACTCCCTTTAAAAGTTTAATATGGATTTATTCATTATTATTCTCTGTATGGAAGCTCTGAAAGGCAAGTGAATTCTTTTTTTCAAGAACACTTTTAACTTATTTGTTTTTGTATTATATTGGTAAATAAATATTTTATATTTATATTATATTTTATTTTAAAAATATTTTAACTTTAAAAAATGTAATGTACTAGTTCTTAATCTCTTAATAGTTATTGTAAAAGTTTAAAAGTATCAAAAGTAAAAGTACTCACTAAGATATTTCGGTATAAATATATATGATATATTATTGGATAATGATTATTGATGCATTCATATCTTTAATGCTGCAGCTGATCAGGGTGGGTCTCTGTCGGGGGTCTGTTTGTGCTGATCTGGTTTTACTGAAACTGGACCTGAGTTCATGTCTCTGAGCGTCTTTAAAGGTTTGAGATGAAATATTTTGTCATTGATCTGTTTACCACTGCAGACATATAAAGATATAATTCAGTTTTACAGCTTCAGTCATAAAATTAACAACTTTTATTTTGTGTATTCAGATTTTAAGCATCTAGAGTAACCAATCTTTAGACAGTGAGTCTTGGTGGTTTTTGGGGCCAAGTACAAGAACTTCAGTTTTGTCTGAGTTTAACATCAGAAAATTGCAGCTCATCCAGGTTTTTATGTCCTTAAGACATGTTTGTAATTTAGATAACTAATTCATTTCATCTGGCTTGAATGACAGATATAACTGGGTATCATCTGCATAACAGTGAAAGTTAATGGAGTGATTCCTAATAATGTTGAGGGAAGCATATATCAAGCAAATAGAACTGGTCCAAGCACCGAACCTTGTGGAACTCCATGACTAACTTTAGGTTATGGTCGTGATATAATGCTAACAGACTGAGGGTAAAGAACAGGACACTGACTGCAGTTTACTGAATGGCCACTGGCGGCGCTGTGCACTTTGGTTTTTTGGTTTTAAAAAGACTTAGAAAAGACTCAACCATCCAAATAGTTTGCATTGCGTTTCTTTCTGAGCTGAATGCAGCAACGATGTTCCAACATCATTTAGATGAAAATCTTGACAAATGTATGTTGTTTTTTTGAAGACCTGGACCGTTTTGTGAGAGGACTCAAAGAGGGTCCAGATCTGACAGTAAATAAGAGCATTGTGATGTTCACTAGTCTGTCGTCTTCAGACCACCTGAACCAACGCTACCAGAGGAGGAAAATGGAGGCAGGTGACTGCGCTGCAGACTGGATCAGAAACCTGGTGGAGAAGCTGGGCAACTTGACATCAGTTCCTAAACTAGCGGGCCTCAGAGCGCTAGCCATCGCTGTCATCATCAATGTATTCTCCTTCAGTCCGCCTGAGGAGACCATAAAGCACACTCTGTTCTGTTTGCAGAAGAGAAGACCTCCAAGATCTGGGATCAGATCGATGAGTGCCTGAAGAGGTGCGTCATGCACATCAACAATGACGATGAGCTGAAGAGTGACATTAAACGGATCGAGTGCCAGCTGAGCGCCGCGCTCACCAAGCTGAAGAACTCCATGATGAGGGACGGGCACATGTCGTCTCAGGCTCTGAAGGCCTGGGTGAACGGAACAGCCTTCCATATCCAGATGCTGATTCACCTGGTGAGACTCGGAGGGATTCAAACCTGTGACCCTGTAAAGAGTCTCCTCTTGACGCACCTGAATGACCCGGACCTGCTGTTCAAAAAGCACAAGGAGATGGTAAAAGGAAAGTGCTTTGTTAAGACAGAATCATTTGAATTCACAGCTTTTTGTTTATCTGGTGACTGAAGAATCCGAGAACTATCTCGTAAGTGACTTTGCTGTTAGCTCTGACAAAATCTTTAAGGCATATTATGATCACAGGTACAGCAGGCAGCAGGGTAAGATTCAGGAGCACTTCAGTGCTCAGCTCAGTTCAATGCAAGAGCAGGTTCATGAAATCGGCTCTTTTAATGTCGACTAATTATTGTGAAGAGATACACCCTGTAATGCCGACTTCCAAAGCTTGCTTATTACAAGAGTTATAATTCTTGATGTCCTGCTAGTGCTGTTATTACCTCTGTGCACATTTATCATATATACAATAGTATAGTGGTCAGATTAGCTCATTCAGTTAAATTTGTGTATATTAATGTGCATGCGTTTTTGTAAGACCAGAGGCCCTTTGCTGCATGTCGTCCCCTCTCTCTCTGCCCCCCTTTCCTGTCAATTTTCAGCTGTCACTATAATAAAGGCAATACAAGCCCCAAAATATACTTTAAAAGAAAAGATGGTCTCATTAATACTGCTGACACATTTCAATGTCTTAATTGTTATTTAATCTTGTTGTTTTGCTTTATTAATTTATTTGTCTTGTTATTTGTCACTTTTATCTTCAGTGTGAATTTAAACCTTGTTTTGTATTATTCCTTTATTGCCACCTCCTTACTTCCTTTCATTTTCAGTTCTTTCTTACTGTATACCTGTACCTTGGCACCATTGAAAATAAGATTCTCACTAAATGTGTTTTCTTGTGATAAATAAATAAAATGATGATGAGTATACACATGCTGTTCTAATCTGTCTGTAACCAGTTATTGTTATATTTACTACATTGCTGCACAACCGGTCTACATTAAAGTTTATTAATTTTATCATAACTGTACACCTGCCTATCACAGTATTTGATAACATATATTGCATTTTATTCCTATATTTTTTACTTCTGCATTATTTCACTGTCTTTGATTCTTGATATATTGATTGATTATATATATAATCTGAAATTTCCACACACCCAAATAAGGAAAAATC